AAATATCATACTCATTTTACATAAAAACCAACTTTCGACTACAGAAACCTCTAAATACTTCCTATTTTCTAGTACTTTTCTATATAAATGACCGTTCTCTAAAATATTGATTTTTTTTGCTAAGACTAAAAATGTCCAAGGTCTGATTGGATGAGTTTACATTTTCATACTACCCACAACCAAAAAATATTGAAACGAAAAGAAACCTTGCGGAGAGTATAGCCTATGGAAAAAGCGCCACTTTCTTTATATAGAATATAATTTTCAATTCAAAATAATACGAGTTTAATTTTAAGTTGATTGTGCATTAAAAGAAAAGATTTTCGAAAAGAAAATTTATCTACTAATGATAATAATGATGAGTTTTTGTAACTAACTGAATGAAGGAATAATAGTCATAATAGACGGAACATCAATACTCAAATCCTAAAAAGAAATTATGAAAAATTGGATATGTATGTCGATAATAGAAGAAAAAACTACAAAAAAGAATATTCATACAAATTTGAAGAAAACTAAAAGGTTCGGTTCTACATCAGAAATAAGTCATGGTAAAAATTGAACATATAATTAAGAACATTACCCGAGAGTTCTGAAACCATGCATCACTGACTAAACATGAAACGCTTTACACTTTTTTCCGAATGAATTGAGCTTTTTTTTTTTATCAATGTTATTCGTTTGATCATAGTATTCAAACTAAGTACTTTGTAAAACATAAATCGTAATGAATAGTGTTTCAGTTTACAAAAGATTTGAATTCTCGTTCTTGTCATATATCTACTCTAACCTTCCATATTTACACTAACAAAAAGAATAATTCTTTAATTCGTATAACAATAAATCTATTTATTTAACTCGATTTCTCAATCGATCAGTTTCGTATGTTATGAAACGCAAAAACACGTTACTATTTTTATATAAAAGATGACTATGAAAATGTTTTGCAATCATGAATAGCCCAATTAGGGAGTGTCGGAGATGTGACACTCTATAACCAAGAAAACTTGTCCGTATCTCCTTTCTCAATGTTGACTGTCTCAGTCCTAGCCTTTGTTTATAACTATGAAATCTACGATACGTACAGGGAATTGCATCAGTTCATTTTATGTCATAATACTGCAGCATTATATTCTTAAGTATCTCTGTTTCTATTTTATATTATTAAAATTAAAATTTTAGATTGGTTTAGCCGTCAGTGATGTAGCTGATTTTCAAATACATGCTAAACGAGAAAATTTACGTTCAAGAATTCGAACAGGTATTAATTTAAATTAAATCAAATAAAATAAACACTTAAATATTTTCTATAGTATTGAATTTTCAAGCAAAATTCGGTACAATTTGTGATATTTTATCAAAATTAATGTTTGTTGTTGCTGGTCATTTTCCTGAATTATTAATTAATTTAAAATTTGGTGTATCAAAACTATCAATACGTATGAAATCAATTCTAATACCAAATCATACAACAAATCTTATTCATACTCGTGTTGGATATGTAACAATGAAAAACCCTAATGAAACTCTATCTAATATTACCCGACAAAAAGAAAATATGCAAGAGATTTATAATGAAAAATTATTATATAAAGTTAATCAAGTTCGTGAAGAAATTGATAAAATACAATTAAAATTTACACAAGAACTTCATCGATTAACATTACGTCTATCAAGATTGTTTGAAAGATGATTTAGTTTTTTTGTTCATCCTTTTTTTTTTTAATATTTTTTAATACAAAGATATTCATGCATGACAAATAATTGTTTACACTTTAACAGATATATCCAAAGATCAACATCTTTGGTGTTTATGTAAGTGACTGTTACCGATAATAGAGATGTTGGTTCTTTCCGTTTGGCGATATTTATTGTCGAATGGATAGCGATCAGATCGGTCGTATGAGTGTAATTATACTTCGAAGAATTGGCGTAGTGTTGAATGAAGAAAGTTTACATTTATTTGATTGATTTTTTAGAATTTTTGAGATATGTATACAGTAAATCTATACTATTAATCGAATCTTTTTGATTACTGATGAAGAGATTTTCATATACATGATGGTGTATTTTGATTTGTATGAGATTTCATTCCATTCATAGGATATAAAGTTTTCAATGAAAAAAAAAAAAGACTATATTGTATCAATATTTTTTAATCGAGCTATCTTATTCAAATTAATCTTTAATTTAAGTTTAATATCATGAATAGAAACTAGGTTAGTTTCAGATTCAAAGTTTAATTTATTGTCATATTCGGTCTCAGATCTACAAAAATATGGACTCGCAGCTCTCTACATTGATTGCATACGACATGCTCTTGCTTGATCTCTTTTACATAAATACTACTAAAAGTATTTTCATGCTGCTTAAGATTTTGATGTTACTATTCGTTTGATGAATTTTGTTTTTTATTAAATACCAAATGATGGAAACATGAACAACAAGAAGTAATTGTAGGTTGACTTTTGTCCTATAAAAGCTTGATCCTTAACTTGTTCATGTATACAGTGAATGTCAGAAATTGGTGGAAAAAAAACCTCGAATTTGAGTCTGTCGGGTTCGGATCCAGAAGTTCATCTTTTCTCAGCCCCAAATCCACGAACCGGGACTTGAATATATATTTTCGATTGTATGCGTATTTATCTATAGTTTATTTTCCAAATAGATTTAACGAAAAAGAATCAAGTTGAAAATATAATTCACAAATAGACTTGTTGTTCTTATTGTAGAAATTAAAATCAAACCTATTTGTATTTTATTCAGTTTATCTAAAAAATTTAGTTATAAAAATGAAATAATATATTATTATCTCTTCTAAAAGATGCCGATTGTGAAATTCATTACATTCTAAAAAGTTCACCTGCAGATGGCAGACACTTCTATTTCATAAAATTGATTTAAAACTAAAATAAATAGAAAAAGAAAGAGGCATCTAGGAAGTAACTGATCATTGTATGGCAATCTACTTAATAATCAATTCTCATTTACTCAAATTCTAATTGATTCAATCAAACATAATAATGTCATCTTCTACATCGATTAAAATGCAAAAACTAGGTGTTCGTTTTGATCCACCGACTATATTTCTATTTTATATAGATACATCAACTGGTAAATTACGTCGTCGTACTGTTACTTTAGATGATTTTACTAAAAATACAAATATAAATGATTATGCAAATGAACTTCATAATGATAAAACAACAAGAGAACGAAATCTTTTTCGATATATTCCAATACGACGTCTTGAAAGACTTTTATTTATTTTAAAAGAAGGTTTAACAACAAATTTATCTAAAAGTGATATTGAAAAAAAATTACATAAATTTGATGAATTAGATACAAATGAAGATTTAAATAAACTTGATGATGATACATTAAAACATAAAAAACTTATTATGAATGAAACATATGACAAAAATCGTGTTGATCCATCATCAAAAAATTTTGTTTATGATGTCGTTGTAGATTTTGAACCAACTGCAGGAGAACATCAAACATCTGAATGGGATTCAACAGATGAAATAGAAGAAGATATAAAACAAGAAGATAATGATGTTGATGAAGATGAAGATGATTTTTCATGACAATATTTATTAAGTATTTTATTTTCTGTTTATTTTTTGTGCAATTTATTTCGTATTTAATCATGACAAAATATAAACTACCGATCATTCGAAATTTGAGAAACATTTTTTTTTTAAAATCATGGTTGAATAGATCTCATCAAGTCACTTTTCAGAAAAAAACGGGTTCTAACATAGTCGAACAATATTTTTTGTAGTGAAACTTTAAAAAATATTATTTGATTGTTGAAAAAAAGCGATTTCTTCCAATATAATAGCGAAACATCATAACTCAGAGGTTTCGACCAACAAAACTTCAGTTTCAATTGAAACGAATATCAAATATAGCATCAATAGAGAAATTTGGATCGAATAATATATTCAATACTTGAAATAAATTTTCGTCGAATTTTGGTTCTTACACTTCTGCACTGTTGTTTTTTTTTTTTTACTAATGAATATACTATTCGATGTAAATTTTTCTATTGACGCTGTATTTGATATTCGTTTCGTTTGTAATCGAAGTTCTCTAGGTTGAAATCTCTAATTTATGGTGCTTTACTTTCATATCAAAAAATCGATTTTCTTAACAATGAAATAAATTTGTTCTCTAATCATATGATGAATAAAGTTAAAAGAAAAGATCAAACAAAAATATTGAGATTACCAAGACTTGATGGTTTAAGTACATTTCAGTTTTTATAAAGTTATTTTTCTAAATTTCAATATACAAAAAAAATATTTATTCAATTATAACCAACACTTTTAAAAGATAACTTGATGAGATCTATCCAACCATAAGAAAAAGAGTTCAAAAAACAAAATGTTACTCGAATTTCCAGGATCTTATTCAATTTTTTGGATAGAAATATTAGAAAAAATGTGATAGATGAATATTAAAATATTCAACATTGAAGTGTGATTACATAAAAAATTAAATATCTTTTTTTTTTCCTTTTCATTTTTTGCTGATTCTAAATTTTGTAATAAAATTAAGCCAAAGAATTTCCTCAAAATGTATGTGAATAAATGAATATGATCAAATACCAAGATGACAAAAATAGACTTATGTGAAAGATTGATTTATATTCATACATTATCTACGTATATTAACCTAGCTGAAATAAATTCCAATATTTTGATATAAAAAAAGCAACAATCAGCTTGCTGAAATTTTAAAACATCAATTATTCCTCTTAATAGAAACCTCACAAGATTTGGTTAGTCATAATCTTTTATGAAAATAACATAAGCATGATCTGTTGGTTTGTAAAATATAATTAAAGATTTCAATGATCGATGATGTATAAGAAAAAAAAAAGAAAACCTGACAACATTATACATGATTACAGTCTTATTAAAGTAAACATTTTAATTTATAAATATAACAGTAAAATTTTTCAATACAAAGATTTCACAAAAAAAAAGAAGAGTTTTACAAATAGATTGTTAATTGGAAATACATTATTTGTTCTGTGCACAATAGAATATGAATTAAATCTATCAATCAATTAATGTAAGACGAGACAAATCCAATATCCACTATAATTTAAAAAGATTGTCAGAGACTAAGATCATTTGTTACAAATGACTCCATCATCGCCTGATACATCGATGCGTTGATATGATTTTTCTGTCTTCTGTTACATGAGATTTCATCTGTAAATTAATGTACCAGTCGAAGTATTGATAGTAGAGTTCTGCGAGACAGTCCCGAATTTTTCGAATCTTTATATCAAAGTTTGTCGAATATTTTAATCTTTTTATTTCTAACAAATATCTTAATATTTTTTTGATGAATAACAGAAAAAAGAACAAACAAAGAATTAGACTGTTGCTCGAGCAAAATCTGAATAGTCCGAAAAATGTCAGAATGCGATTCTATACGACATCCGTTATTTCTAAATCTTAGACATTCATAGAAAAGAAATCATAATGAATTCCAATCATGTTCAGTTGTCTTGAATCAACTGACAAGTTAACAGATAATGAATTTTAACCAATTATTGCCCATATTAAGAAACTGTTGTACATAGCATCTGAAATATCAATAGTCTTTTTCAAGTTGAGTCATGTGTGACTATGTAAGGAAACTTTTAGCTATTAATTATTGTTTTATGCATTTTTATAACACCAAACGGAATTGAATTTTTACAAAAAGATTTTTGGATGTGTACTCGTCACATTCTCACAATTTCGACAAACTTTTTCTCATTTTGAAATGATGGCTAGGTGGGAAGAACGAGTGACTGATTGGGGTTAGGACTAATGCATTGAGAAGAAGAAGATGATCAGTCACCAGAAAGAAAAAATTTCATGACAACTAAGCGAGTGAAAAGTAATAAGCTGACTACTGTAGTTTGTACATTCAGCCGTCTTGCAGTCAATGGGACAAACGAGATTCGGAACACAAAAAAATTTGTCCCGCTGGACTCTAGCTGATAGAATGTATTACTCGATATGCTAGATATTAGATTAGACATCGAACTATCTTTCGGTTGTTTTTTTATGTTATTATTCTCTTTATAGGTCTTTATTTTCTCAGTTGTATTGTGTAATAAAAATTATGTAAATCTTCTCCATCGATTTATTATATCTCTACAGGCTCATATACGTGCTATATGTTTTCTGAATATTTTGTATTTCATCATTCAACAATATTCTAAAGTAATAGAATGAGTTTTATGATATCTCACAGTGTTTTTTGTTTTAATATATATATATATATATCTCAATTTGAAAAAAATTTCAATAAACTGATTTTGGATCATTAATGAAAATCAAGATTTTTTTTTCCACATCATTGTATATCGAATTTTTTGATTGATAAAAATCATTATCAAAATGATTTATCATTCTAAATTCAATAGATATGAGCATAGGGTTACATATATAATTCTTTACAATTTTCATGAAACTATTTTATTATTTGATGATGTTTTAGTAGTTGTTTGATGTTATACGAAACCAAATGGAAATGAAATATATCTCAATAAAACATCTAAAAAAAAATTGTACTTCTATGCAATAAATAGAAAATGATGATTTAAATTTTCCATATTTATTGATAAAAAGAAAATTATTTAAAGGTCAAATGACACGCGAAAAAAAAAAGTACTCCTAG